ATTGGTGATAACCCCCGTTTTATTTATTTACAACATACACAATGTTGTAACACTGTAATAGTAAAACAGATCTCAAGTACAAATACCGAAATTGTCTGCAATTATGTTAATGCACTTTGTCAAGCTAGCTTTTAGAAAGGAAGCCATAGGTGAACACACCCATGTTCTTCTGATCTTCCTGTTTCCTTGTGAGTTAAGGAAAAAGTATTTGATTTGCTTACCAATTAATAACTCAAGATGTTCACCAACAGTTCTTAGCCTATTAGATCCACAGAACTTTTTACCCACTGCACTAGTCACTATTTTTGTTGGTTTTTTTAATAACTTCCTTTTCCAAATGGTGATGGTGATTTTTTTTTTTCACTGTACAAAATTTTACCCTCCCCAGAATTTCTAAAACACTCAGCAAATTTACTTACGCAGCAACTTTCATCTATTTCCCAAAGTATTACTACACTACCACAGGAACTCAAAATTTTGTTTAATATAGAACCATGTAAATAATTCAGTAATAGCAACCTGGAAAAAGGAACACGGCAAGAGATTTACAGCAAACTACTTTATAGATCTAGATATATTTCCAGTTCATAGAAATGTAAGTAAGACACAATGCAGACTTTACTGAAGTTAATAAGACATTCAACGGAAAAACTAAGGTACAAACGAGAAGAAACAACTTGCACAAGATCTGACAGCAGACACACAAATTGAACCCCTAATTGTCATGTTAGGGCTCTGTTTCTAAATAAGGCACCATTCTCAGAGATGACTTTTCACTTTCTTAGGGTCTCAGATTTTTTGGAGGACGGTTAGTTACTTGGGAGGCTAATGACAGAGAGAAGGTTTGGGAGAAATCTTTGCAGTTATAAGCCTGCCTATTTGCTCTGCAGGAAGACCTCACACCTGTTTCAAAAAATCATGCAGAGAGAGTCACATCTTAAGTACTTTAACATAGCAAAAATAATGATACAGAATCTTCCCACAATGATTAAATGTATGTAAACTCAAAAACAACATTATAAATCCACAGTAATTTTTTTAATCTGTTTTTGAATGTGTTGCACATACTCTTGTGGTTACATTTATTTTTAGAATAGTCGTAAACTTTTGCAAGCCAACAAAGTAAACCTCCAGGACAGCACCATGGCTTCACAAGCTTTTCTTTTCTTCCATAAGGATTTATAATCTGACTTCAATAAATGCAAATAAAAAATCAATTTTAATACGAATTTTGATTAATTAGAGTTTTTTATACCAGAACAATAACATGCATAACAATACTGGGCATTGGATAATGAAGCCACTGCTCATAACCCTTCATGGACTGGCTTTGACCAACGATATGCCATCTAAAGTTCCCATTTTTCAGATATGCTTACTTATTTCTGCCCAGAATTATGTCTTCAAACAGTCCACTCCCCTAAAATAGACTATAAAACACAACATCTGGAAATCTTATCAAAATATTTTTGGAATTAGTACGGCAGGAAGCAGACAGATAACAGCAAAAGGACAAAGTCTGGAGTTTTACAACCTAAAGTAGAGAGTGGTATGAGGAAGACTTTATTGTAGCTGGGCTAGATTTCTTTTTCTTAGTTTCACAAATGCCACATCCTGGATAAACCACAAGTACTCCTGCAGTCATGTTGCTGTCCCTCATGATGCAGGCTTGCACAGTAGAGAACCTGTAGAAACTACGAGGATTACAACAGAATCACTCATACAGAAACACTCCTTTCCTGATGTCTACTTACCTACTAAACTACATGATACTTGTTTTTCACATCACTAAAAGGTTGATCTAAGCTGCTGCACCCTACTGCAAATTTTCATCTGTCACATTTTTAATCTCAATATATTTCTGCTACCCACTAATCTTTGTCCCATTCTCTCTATCAAAATGGTTAGATACCCCTTACACACCCATGAAACTCCTGCTTTATTCTGACCTGTTTCGGTTATCATTGTTTTATTGTCACTATCTCGAGTTCCAAACTATCATTGTCACCTCATTTCTGCTACTTTACAAATGCAGCTAAATAAAGATATGAAAAGCCTTCATGGTAAAAGAATCTTTCAAATCTATGTCATTTCTATTTCTATGAAAATACTTTACACTTAGGTATGCAGATGAAGAAACTAGATCTATTTCAGGTCAGAAGTTAGAGACTTTGTCTGTCAGGTTCAAAACAGAGACAATGAAACTGAAATTAATAATGCTATATCTTAATATCAACCCTGTTTCTAATTTTGTTTCTCTTAGAAAAGTTAAAATTGCATCAGAGTGAAAAAGCTACTTACCCATAAACATGATACATCTGCATATTCTCATTTATGGGTACTGTGGAATGACTGACATTTCTGCTGCTGATGACCTTTGGAGACTGCCTGGAAAAGCAGTGCCTGTTGGGACTACATGAGCATCCCCTGGTGACAGTGGATGAACACAAATGTGATCCCAAATGGCTTCTCCTTTTTTTTTCATTTATGCCTAACCTCATATGACATGCAGATCTCCATGGGACAGAAGGAAGTAGTACCAGCGAGCTCTCTGGCATAGAAACCAACTCCAAACTTTTATTTCTATGATCTTTGTGCTTGCAGGCAGTAGGAAACAGAATAAAGGTTTTCGCAAATATCATATCCTGGTAAGACCTGTGTCCAAAAAGAGCTTTACACAGACACATGCTAGTATGAAGATGGTATCAAGCATCTAACAAACTAGCAGAACAAGCATGCCAGGAGCTGCCACATAGCCTTCCACAGTGAGGCCAGCTACCAAGAACAGGCACTGCAGTCACCATCTTACAGTGTTTCCGCAGCAGCAGGATAACATCAGAAAGTGATGGGAACCAAACATAAACGGTTAGGGGCAAAAGGTTTATGCTTCTCCCAGTATAATGGTTTTCAGACTGGACAGCGGTATATCTGTCCCTCTGCAGGAACGGAAGAACATCTTAAGGACAGAAAAAACAAAGTCCCTCACAATGTCTCAGGGACAACCTCTCTGCCAGGGATCTGGCAAAATTGCACTAGACCCAGCAGTGCTGGAGAACAGGATATTCAGGGAGGAATGTAAACTCCAGGAGGCAAAAATAAAATACACTGATTCAAGTCTCTCTTTCACATCTTTTTGAGTTCTCTGGTTTATGAAACATACAAAGAGACTTAAGGGTTGTTTCAGTCCAGAAGTCTAGCTACTCAATGGTACAGAAATTAAGTAAAGGTTCATTGTAAATCTACTCAAGCAATCTGAACAATAACATTGTTCACTACTGATAAATGTGACATGAAGAAGGCTGCTAAAACTGAACAAATCCAGTGACCACAGTTCTTTGCAAGCAGAATGACTCAAGAACCAAAAAGTAGTCAAGATAGTTGGGAACTCTAGAAACCATCTGTGAAGGGCTCTGTCAGCAGGACTAGGGTTCAGCTGTCCATGCAGCACTGCCTTTCGCAGAAGGCCCTACAGCTCACTCGGCAGCACAAAAGAACTTAATTTCACAAGTGGTGATATGTGGAGACCACTTCAGAGAGGAATGATGGGCTGTTTTCCCCACAACCACAGATATCATTTGTTTAATGATTTCACATTATTATTCTGCACAAAAATTAGTTGAGCTACAATCCTGCCTTTTACAAAAAATCTTAATGAAGTGTCATAGCAAAACAGGTAACAGTCACAGAGGAAAATATTTGGCACACGGGGGAAGATTCTGGCCGGTAGAACTGCTATGTTGCTGTCCTTAAATTTGGTTATACAAAGCCACGGGCAATATTTTTCTTTAAATTCAACAGTGAATGCTGCAAACAGCTAGAAATAAGAAAATATCAGAGCCTCCATGAGAAACAAAAAGTACAAAAAAAAAGCGTTGTGTGAGAAGAACAGCCTAATAATGAGAACACAGATCAGAGGGTAGGCAGAAGCAGATTAAAAGGAGACCAACTATAACGAAAATGTGAAAATAAAAGGCAGCTAAATTAAATACCAATCACATGCTATCTTGCACATGGAGATGAAAGAGAAGACTTAGCAGACAAAAAAAAAAAAGAAAAAGAAAGCAAAGAAAAAAAAAAAGAAGCCTAAAACAATATAAAAATTAGGTAAGACCAAAGGGTCAGTCCGTTACTGAAGAACTGAGAGCAATGATGAGCAGTGGATGGGCAAAAGGAGGGAAAACATTAGAAGATCAGCAGAGGAAGCAATGGCATGTCTTTTTCTCTATTTCACTTTTACATACTGTGCTGTACGTTTCACAGACTCTCTAAATAGCTGCAGCACTTCAGCCACAGGATCCATTAACCAACACTGTTCAAATACATGTGAGTTTAAACACGTTTTCACATCACAAAGGTGAGGGAAAAGACTACACTGGTATCTATGTTCAGAAAACATCAAGATAACATGAGGGAAAGTTATGACAATTAATTTTACTATTTTGACAGCCATAACTTTCTTCTCTACACAAACATGTTCCTTGCTTCTGACAACCCAAAACACAACAACACTTACCAACACCCTTTATCATCTGGATATAGTCCCACAGAGCTATGTGTAGTCTCTTCAGAAAATAGCCTATTTGACCTATTCTGAGTCACATAGTATGGACTAATGCACATATAGCAGTCTGTCACGGTAAAACAAAAAGTGAGTAAACTAGTGTTGACTCAACCATAGTATGGAGATGTTTTGTTTTTCACTTGAAACCCTTGTACTCAGAATCCTGCTGGGATGATCACAGCATACACAATATCAAGTACCTCACTTGCCACACATCTTTTCAAACACTAGATAAGACAGTCACCAGATGGAAAAATTATTATGTGGTTGTTTGTACCATATCCTGTTGATTTTTGGCTTTAACCACATTTGCAAAACCAGAAAATACACATAACAGACAGAAAAAAAGATTCTTCTAAAACACCATCATTTTATTGCAGATTTATGAAGGCAGATGCAGATATTTATTGTATATTTGAATATACTTCAAGGTACTCACCTTGATCTCTTTCGTGCCATGTCCGACTCCCCGCAGCTGGTGAATTTGGAGAAGGATAAAAGTCTCCTGTCGGGCTTGGCTCCATATTTTCATCTATGGAGATAGTTTTGGGTCTTTTGCTGTTGAAGTAATGTGAGATTTGGCAGTGAATATCATATGCAGCTAGTAGTGGTATATAAACTGTTTGGATTTCAACAAATGTTTCGATAGAAAGTAATTCAGGCATACAAAGCACACCAAAAAAAAGTGGATGTTAGAGCTTACATTAACTTACATAGACAATTTTATTTAATAATATGTAATGCAGGTATGTGTTTGCATTTTTCACATGATTTAATATTTCAGAGACAGCACAAATGGGTAACATGCACAAGTCTACCAGCATTTGGCTGAACAACCACGAAACCAGTTCCTGTAACTTACCAAAGAAAGGTTGTGTCATGAGAGTGTTAAACTCTATGCAGAAACCATGAAAGCATAGCAAAGCACTGGAAAAGTACTACTAATAAAGTCAAGGTAAAACAGGAACTTTTCTGAATGTGTTAATAAGGAAAAAATGTAGTTTACTATATTTCACCAGGCCAAAATCCTGAGCTTTTCAAAGAGGTCTAACCTGAAACAAAGACTTTTCATTTTGGACTAGTTTAATTAAAAACAACAAAAGACCCATATTTCAAGTCACACTATATAAAATGAGGCAGCACTTCAAGACACTGGAGTGATGTCAAGTTTCTTCGTAACAATATATACTAAAGCTGTTATGCTGAGTGCCAAAGAAAACCAGGATGAAGCTTTTAATGGCGGTGGTTGTTATTATTGTTGTTGTTGTTGTTGTTGTTGTTGTTGTTGTTGTTATATTTACACAACACTGTTAGAATTAATCTATCCATTTCTAAAATGTACTAGGTGAATTGACAAGCTGAAAATACAATGGAAATGAAATAGGGGAATATGAGCAAAATAACTCAGAAAGCATCAGGTAATGGCAGAAGAGCACCCCAGCCCCCTGACAGTCCTGTTAAATCCTGTCCTCCATGCAGACACTTCCTGACTCACAGGGGTGCAGAAACATGGGACAATGAGAGGTCCTACAGTGCTTATAATTTCATGGTACATCGGACAGTTTCAGAAAACCCAGGGGCCCCTGGGTGTGCCAGACAGTACATTATCTGGGAGTCAAAAGGAGGGCACAGCAGATTCTCCACCTCTGTGGGCCCACCAGCTGCTCCTGAGGGAGGAAACTGGCTCTTTCTCAGACTTGGGAGAAGGAAACATGTTGAAGCAAGGAAGAAGTGGGTCCCTCAGATCAAACTGTCTGTAGCAGGCACATGGAGACCCTTGAGAAAAACTGGAGAGCCTGTGACTACCTCACCTGCTTCTCCTTGTTCCCACTGTGCTGAGAAATGCCCCTTGTAAGGGTGAGGCAGGAAATACACTTTCATGAGCTGGGGTGATGCTAGGGGTAAAGACACCTTGTCTTTATATACCTGTCCTAACACCTTTTCCACAGGGAAAAGCAGCTGTCCCAAGCTGTTTCAAAGCAGAGGTCCAAGAGGGAACCCTCAAAGACAGCTTTTGTGCCTGCAACCACCCTGTGGCATTGATCCCTGCCAGAAGGTTCCCGACTGCTCAACCTTCCTGCAACTCAGCAGCAGTTCCAGGATGTGTAGCTGTGCTCTTGGCAGATGATTTAGTGAGCACTTCAAACCCTGACAAAAGTTACTATTGTCTTCAACATCAATAGCAATGACAAGCAATAATGACACCACTTCAAATTACAAGATTTGTAACATACATATCTGTACATTAGTTATAGTAATGTACATAAGTAGCCTACCTCACAAAATCAGAGGAAATTCAAAAAATAGTTGACTGTTAGCTGATGACTATTTTTCAGTTGCTTGTCCTGCAGTATTAAACCTGGTTTCACATTAGCACTTATTTCAAGTTTTTACCTGCTTGGTGGAGAGGACAAGGACCTCTGTAGATTTACACCCGAATTCATATCATGATAGTATGGCTGACTCGGAAGCTCTCCAATTGGGAAGTTCACTCCAGTTCCCTGGGTTATGGGTGCTGAAAAACACATCATCATAACGAGTCAAAGATAGTCTTCTATCTTTTCAATCATCTTTTCGTTTGGGAAAAACATCAAGATGTTACTACATGTATCTAATTTTCTGCCTCTTGCAGAAACCAAGTACAGACAAGTTTTATCAATGTTTACATATCTAAAAAAGTGAATTATCTTTCCCGGTCCCTAGAAATCCCTTAGCAGTTATGCAGACATAATATATTTGTTGTATAACAGATAGCCCGGTATCCTGAATGTGAAAAAGGTAACACAAGCCTCAGCACAAAGTCAAGCCTTCTGTAGAAGGATTTTATAATGAATGAGGCAGGGTTTATAAAGACAGCTAACATTATTTATTAAAGAACTGAAATAACTGGAAAGAACAAACTTGGGGACACACAAACTCTTTTTCCCTTAATGTTAACTGCTTTGTATTAATAACTGCCTTCTGTGCTGACAGCAAGTTTTGCTGCCTCCTTTTTCTTTCACCCAGAGCCACAGGTACTGCTTTGCATATGTACACCTACACACAAACACATACACTCAGCGTTATCTTCACCTCCTTACAGAGTGTGTGTACCGTACATCTTGGCATTTCAAGAATAAATTAGATGTTACATATTGTGGTGTATTTACCTTTGTTCACTGTCTGTGCATTGTGCATTTTAACTACCTTTGGCACTTAAAAGAATAATTGCATGTTGTGTAATGTGTCTGAAGGTTTGTATTTTTCCTGACAGTTCAAGTACAACTCTGTTGCGGCTTGAGGTTAAACAAATGCATGGTAAGAAATCCCACAGAAACCACATGCTTTAGAGCTTATTATTAGAAGTATATCATGTATAACAGCTGCAGAAGGTACAATTTCATAATGTAGCTGCAATATTGATTCTTTTTTAATCTGGACGGTCTGATACTTTAAAATGTACTTAACCACCTGACGACTAACAGAAAGCTCTATTTCACAGATCCTCAGCCTCCTAAAATGGCAAAACTGTATCTTCAGCAAGCACAAAAAAGAATATGTCTTAACACTGCAGGATGGCAATGCTCAGTATTTTGCTGAAGAGCTTAACATAATTTTAATTGTTGAATATTAATTTCTGACCACAGCAAATGAAGTAATGGAATCATAGAATGGTTTAGGTTGGAAGGGACCATGGAGATCATCGAGTTCCAACCCCCCTGCCATGGGCAGGGACACCTCCCACTAGACCAGGTTGCTCAAAGCCCCATCCAGCCTGGCCTTGAACACTTCCAGGGATGGGGCATCCACAGCTTCCCAGTGCAACCTGTTCCAGTGCCTCACCATCCTCACAGTGAAAAATTTTGTCCTATTATCTAATCAACTAAATCTACCCTCTTCCATTTTGACGCCATTAGCCCTTGTCTGATCACTACGTGCCCTTGTAAAACGTCCCTCTCCAGCTAGCCTCACTAAGTTAATTAAATTCCTCAAGCATTCTGACCTGGCATGAATTAACTACTGTGCAAAATTTGGACAAACAGTTTTGGAAACTTGTGCCTCACTTGTTTTGTCCTCACCTCATCAGAAAAAAGATTTTCCTGGATCATTCAGTTGTTATAATGTTGGTGTCATCACTGCGGACACTTCTAACTATATCTTTCAAGTATTTTTGTTCACTTCCTATTGAAGTCTTAAGAGAAACACTTTAACAGCGCTGATACGAAAGGGAGAAAAGAAGCATTCAGAAAGCAATGATTTCAAATGATAATACGCACTGGTTCTACACCATACTATTATAGCAAATTCTTAGATGTCAATAAAACAGACCTTCTTATTTATATTCATTTTGGTTTTTCTTTCTGCAATAAAAGCTTCACATGTCCTTTTATATTTATATTTTGTGTTACTTTTTTTCTTGCATGTTCATGTGCATAACATTTCTGATGCCAAAACAAGCCAATGTAATTAGAAATTCAATTATAGCTAGTGCTACGAGTGAATGAAACACAAGCATATAATACATTAAGTTAGTCATCCTTTATATCCATGCTGTAATTTTTCTTTTAAAAGCTACAAATTCAAAAGCAAACTACAAGAATAATCAGATGGTTTATCAAAATCCAAAGACATGTAGAACAACCTTAAAAAGCTGCAAGTCTAACAAATAGAAGGTTTTGTTACGTATGGTAATTTTATTGACATATCAGTCCGTTAAATTGTGCAGAGGGACATATAACAAATTGATTCAAACTTTAAATATTGAAAAGACAAAAGAATACTTCTGTTTGTTTTATTACAAACACATGCAAGATGAACTGCAATACTGTGGCCATCGATATCAAAATTGTGCATGGTTACAGCCATTTCCTATGCATCTTACATCTCAGGGGAAAAAATGCTTTCAAGAAAAAACCTTCACTTCCTTATAGCAGGCTTTGGAAACTGTTAAATTCAAATGGTAACTTACTTCTGGACACCCTCACAAGTTCTGACACGTTGAACACTCCGGATTTTACAAAACTGTCCTCAAGGTACACTGAAAAAGATCACAATACCATAATCAGTATAATGAGAAGATTAATAAGTAACTACAGATAAGTTTATACACCAGCTGACAACAGTATCAACAAAGTCCCAGAACTACAATGCACAGACCAAAGTACACTCAAAACTGATCACAGGATGTAACGAGAGATGAAATTCAGGCAGAGGTGCAAAAAACCTTGAGGAGTTGTAAGAAAGGAATTTTCTAATATGTGTATGAAAACTAACAAGCAATACACTGAGTTCCTAGCTAACCATCCAGAAAACATCTAAAAACTAGTCTCTTTTATTAGTATCTTCAAGTCAGTATTGAACTAAGAACTGTATCAGCTGAACTAAGCAATTTCACCATAGAGCAGTCCTGTCCTTGCATACTTTTCTGCTAAAGGGATTTTTACTTAACTCTTGCCCTGCTGATAGTGACTTTACACTACCACCTCCATTATCAAATCCACCTCTGAGGCAGATAAGGTTTTTACTATTATTTCAAATAAAATCAGGAACTGGGCAAAACAGCTGAACTATTCAGTGGGTTTTTTATATACATGCTGAATTATATATCTAGAAAGCTACGTTTAAGAAACTACATATTACTGTTTTGGCTTCTGTTTACTTATTCTAAGATAAATACATATGACAAACCTTCTCTGCCATGAAATTCAGGAACAACTTGGAGTACTGCAGTGAAACAGCTGATAATCAAGACTTATCTGAGTAGTGTAACTAGATAACCTTATAAAAATGGAGCTGAGAAACCCAGGTTTCTGTGGAAGTCTCTTGTCATTAATCACTGAATAAGCTGATTTGACTGAATTTGAGATTATATAACATCACAGACCTTACAGGTAGGAATGCCAACCATTTACCAACAGAAATACTTAGATCTATCCTTGGTGCACATTGCTGCTCCAACAGTATTACTTTTTTATTTGCTTTCATCTGAGATGGTGCACTAAGAATGTCTTACTACGGTTTCGCTAGTCTCTTTTCTGAATTAACACAGCTTTTTTCTTTTGTAAATACACTGTTAATTTTCTTTTCCAAATGTCTGAATGAGTAAAAGCACCCTAAATGTCTTAACTAACAAAACAAAAAAACAAATTTAATAATGCATCTACTGGGATATTTACTGATTGGAAAACAATGGTTCAGTACTGTTCTCTTTAGGTTTCTTTTGGCAATTGCTGCTTTTATCTTAAGGTAATTTAAGAAAACACTGCCACTGCAACCAGAAAAGTGACTGTGAAAGCAGCACACTTCACTTGAGAGATCTGTCCTTGCTGCATCTGGAGAAACCTCTCCTTATTTTTCAGGGTCAAACAAGGAGGGCAGACACAAAACAAGCAGTTTTCACTGCTTACCAGCAGTCTTACTAGGGCCACAGAGCCACCTCACCCAGCACCTCTGGTATAATTTACCAGTGCGCATTACTTAACAATGTGCCAGACAACTCAAGCTAAAAGAAGGGGAACACATCTAACCGAGCACAGTTCCTGACTTGTCTGTCATGCTATTACACCCATAAGCGAATGTCAGTCTTCCCCAGCTGAAAAACCACCCCAGGAGCAAATGTGGTGGGTCTGCAGAGCCCCATGGGCCTCTGGGATCATACTGAACGATGTTATGCCAATGTCATCACTTCTCATCTTCCAGTCAATGCCACTTCATACAATATCCCTGCATGACTTTATTTCCACTAGTAGCTCTGCAAGTCTCCCTCTCTTTTTTCTTTACTTCCTTTCATATTCCTCCCTTTCTCATTGTCAACAGCTTCTCTCCATAACCATTACTTTTTCCTCTTTTATTGTCCTTCACGTTGATGCTGCAGGCCTCACTGTAACCTTATTCATCTCCAGTTTCTGAGAAATAAGAGCCTTTCTCTTTCATCTTCTGCATTCTCTTGAATCCTTTCTCTATGTTTTTTTGTGTGGATGAAAACATGACATGGCTTCTCCAGTATTTACGTCTTTATTTGACAGAACTTGGCATACCAATATCATAAAAAATTGCAAAGAGTTAATCTTTCTTTTTCCCTTCTTCCTCAGTTTCACTTTTTAACCTAAGAACAGGCAAGCCGGATGAAGACTAATAATTCCTCCAACGATGGCAATCTTTCCCTTCTCAGCCTATTTCCTCCAGCACGAACAGTCTGAAGTAGTACATGGAAAGGAGATTTCCAGAGAAAAATTTGCCTTCTTGATTTTAGTTGGCCTGTAAGTGAAGTGTGGCTTAAAGCCAGTGTACAAACATGCAGCCAGCTCCGGAGCTGGTAATGAGACAAGACTGAACTTCTCTGCTGCTTATCCAAATACCACTTCTTTGAAGCACAACTTCTTTCATTCATGTTAGGCTAACTTGAGAGGAGCTGTACCCAAGTGTAGATTAGTCAAGCTATCATTACAGTGAGAACAAGCCCCAGGGCTCATATTAAAAATAGAAAATGCCCATGTAGGATTTTATATGTAAGGACACAGATATATGTATGTGTATGCACGTGCACACGCATACAAGTATATGCGCACACACACAGACACGCGTGTTTAATCTTCAGCCTTCCCTCATGAATTCTTAGTTTTTCTCACTGGCAATACTGAGAATACTCACATAACACAAAGAGAAAATACAGTGTGTTTCTCTCCTTGTGATAATGAAATGAGAGCAGAGAAAAAAATCTGCCACTGAGTGGTACCGCTATTTATCAGCCCCTCACAGAAGGATGAATTGCTGACCAATGGATCACTGTCTTTCACCCAGGTTTCACCCTGCTTTAGATGGTCCAAAAACAATGACATGCACAGATATGTGCAAATGTTTGGCCTGCCATTAGGAAAGAGAGGGAAACTGCATCTATTGTCAATCTCAATCAACTTAAAAAGCAGCTTGATTTTTTTTTCTCTATGTAATGTGACAAAACATTATTAAAAAATTGACACAACAATAAACAATCTATGTCACAGGCACTGAACAACTTCATCCTGAGCCTTATGTACTAACAGGGAAGGTGGATTCCAGTGGTGCCTCCGAGTGCAGAGAAATAAACACAGTACGTTCAGTTCCAGCACCAGTGGACTTTGACAGTTTTAACTAGTTAGGAAGACAATCCATAGTGGGAATGTTACAGAACTGTTCTTGGCTCCCAGCTGTGCAATAGGAAAATGTTCTGTGTCATTTAACTGCTGTAATTTGTTGCAGAAACACACACTCTATGTATGAAAAAAGATGTACAGCAAGACTGGATGCAGCAGGACAACAGTATAAGGTATTTTGACCTTATGGTGTGAGACACTGTCCTTTACCTTGTGAAGCTGATCTCCCTGCTGAGTAAGAGTTAACATTTATATTCACATTATTACACTGCATGCAAGAAAAAATATATGGCGATACTCTGTACTGTATACATCTTACTGTTTTTTTGATTAAGCATTCCCTAATGCACTGCTTGCATTAACATGTTAAAGAGCCTTAAATTAGCATTCTTGGTGTGTGTTTCTGATCTGTTCAGTACAAAAACCAATGCACTTGATAACAGTCTATTGCTTTATTCCTAATAGAGGAATAGACCATCTTTCATGAGAACACTTTGCTGCTTTTATTGCTCAAACCTAATATAAGCGCTTAGTATTGACATTTACTAAAATTCACCTTGCCTGAGAGAGGACACTGGCTGAAACGCATTTCTCTAATTGTTATTAGTCTTGAAAATCTGAGTTCTACAAAAAGAACATTTCTGCCAAAATCATCATAGTGCAATTCTGTGTAGTCAGTAACTTCCAAAACCCATAAATAACAGAGGAAATTTTTTTTCTGTACTTGCTTTTATTTTTTGTAGAGGATCAGTATAAAATCTGCCTTCCCTCCTCACCTTTTTTACAGAAAACTAATTTCTGAAAAATACATTTTCCAAATAGTACTACAATGACCAGACCAGTGCCATCAAGGATGAAAGATAAACAGGTTAAGCCCAAGCAGCAGTTCTGATCAAGCTCCCCTCATATGGCCAATAACAGGAGAAACCTCCAGTAATGCCTCCAACTGCTGTTGAAGTTACTCTGTCCTAGTCCTTATACATCTTCCACATTGTGTGCTATGCCTTCCAGAGCTGAATTACATGTATAGCTTTTAACCATGCTAAGACTTAAAATGGAAAAAAAAAAAAAAAAAGTTGAATAAACCTACTGAAAAATATTTTCAGTTTGCACTAACATCTACTGTAAAAGGCTTCTTACATTACTTAAAAGCTTACCAGTGACGTCTGTCTTTACAAATCTTTAACCAGCCTTTTTTATGTCTTCTGATTTAATTGTACTTTTATGAATAGAACGTCTGTTTACATTCTGCTGCATATTGACTAGTGCCAAAACATAAAATTGCTTCCTGGTATCACTAAACATCTAGTTTTTTCACTGATACAGCTTTGATTTTGAGCAACTTATAAAACAGGAGTAAGAATCCAACCAGTGGAGGAAACAATTTTATTACTCTATTTTTATTTCTGGATCTTTAAAAAGAGGAATTATACAGCAGTACATAGACTTACTAGCAGCGAGGCAGGTTTAACATCAGGAGCTATTGTGAGAAGAAAGTCTGGAAGCTGCAGCCTGGTGTCCAAAATACTATCAGGGAGCTAGTAATGACTTTAAGTCATGCAATGTAATGTCTGGATGCTGCTAGAGATTTGTTTGACATCTGAAACTGCTTCAGTTAAAGATTAAATCATTTCATTGTATAGCTTCTTTTCTTTGAGTCTTTGAAAACTGAATATTTAAGGATCAGGTCTTGCTGCTCTCTGCAATACCTAACTTCTACAGGATGCTCTTTAATTTCAGCA